ATGGGGGAGAGATGGGGAGAGATGGGTGGAGATGGGGGAGAGATGGGCAGAGATGGGTGGAGATAGGGAGATGGGTGAAGATCGGGGAGAGATGGGGAGAGATGAGGGAGAGATAGGGAGAGATGGGTGGAGATGGGGGAGAGATGGGGACAGATGGGTGGAGATGGGGGAGAGATGGGGACAGATGGGTGGAAATAAGGGAGATGGGACTCACCTTAAGAAAGCCAGACTCGGGCAGTCACCAGCAGATTGACAGCGACGCTTTTGAAGAGGAGAAATCGGAGGCCCATCACGGTCAGAGACAACAAGTTTGCCTGCGGTCTCTCTGTGATGGTTAAAATCAGACACAAGATCAACATGATGAAACCGAAATGTATCCTTTTCCCTCCAGCTCAGAACTGACAGCGTTGGAACATGTCAGGAATCGTACAACCCCCGTCAGACCATCAACCACCCTCAGTCACACCTCCCTCCATTCTTCTCTCCCTCCTTCTCTCCATCCACACCTCCCTCCATCCTTCTCTCCTTCCCTCTCTCCATCCACACATCCCTCCCTCCTGCTCTTCAAATCTATCTCTCCCTCGCCACATCCCTCTCTCCCTCCCTCTTTCCTTCTCTCTTTCTGTCTCTCCATCCCGCTCCATCCATCTATCTTTCTGTCTGTCCGTATCTATCACTCTATCTCTCAGGTTCTTTCTCTCTCTCATTCTCTATGTGCCTCTATCTCTATCTCTCTGTCTCAATCTCTGTTTGTCTCTATCTCTCTGTCTATCTCTCTCTCTATCTCTCTCTGTCTGACTGTCTCTTTCTCTCACTCTCTCTCTGCCTCTCTCTCTTTGTTTGTCTATCTTTCTATGTCTCTCAGGGTTGGAGGGTTTGAGCTATAGGAAAACCTGAATAGGCTGGGGTTATTTTCCCTGGAGTGTTGGAGGCTGGGGGTGACCTTACAGATGTTCATATAATCATGAGGGGCACTGAAGGGTAAATCGACAAGATCTTTTCCCCGGAGTGGGGGAACCTAAAGCTAGAGGAGCATAGGTAGAGAGGTGAGAGGGGAAAGTTGTAAAAACGACCTGAGGGGCAACATTTTTATGCAGAGGGTAGTGCGTGTATGGAATAAGCTGCCAGAAAAAGAGGAGGAGGCTGGTACAGTTACAACATTTTAAAGACATCTGGATGGGTACATGGATAGGAAGGGTTCAGAGGGAGATGGACCAAATGCTGGCAAATGGGACTAGATCAGATTAGGATATATGGTCAGCATGGATGAGTTGGACTGAAGGGTCTGTTTCCTTGCTGTACATCTTTATGTCTCCACGACTGTATCTCTCTGTCTTTGTCTTTCTGCCTGTGTCTGTTGCTCTCTCTCTCCCTCTCTATTTCTCCCTCCCTCCCACACCTGTCTGTCTTTTTCTGGCTCTCTCTCTCTCTCTGTCTCTCACTCTCTCTCCACCTCCTCCCCACCCCAGCTCTCTCCTTCCGTCAATCTCCCCATTCCTCTGCCTGTTTATTCATCTCCCCTAACGCCCCTTCCCCACTCACGGGAACTCTGACCTTGAAAGGGGTCATTTTTTGCGTCCATCATGTCATTTGAAGATTCCGCACAGCCCGACTGGGTCGGACCTGGCCCTGTAGACAGAAGGTGGAGACGTCAGCCTGGAGAATGCGTTCGTCAGCTCAGGGGGACAAGGTGCCAACATGGGCACATGTGCCCCGCTGAGGGGGGATAGGGGTCATGGGGCGGGGGAACAAGGGGGAATGGGGAAGGGGGTGCGAGGGGTTGAGGGAGCAAGGGGAGGGGAGGAACAAGAGGAGGGGGGATAGGGGCAAGGGGAGGGGGAACAAGGGGAGTAGGGGAAGGAGGGAATGGGGGAGAAAGGGGCAAGGGGGATGGGGGTTGGGGGAACAAGGGGGGATGGAAATGGGGTTTGAGGGGAGGGGTGAACAAGAGGGGATGGGGATGGGGGCGAGGGAATGGTGGAGCAAGTGGAGTGGGGGCAAGGGGATGGGGGAAGATCGGATGGAGGAGCAAGGAGGGATGGGGAACAAGGAGGGATGGGGGAACAAGGCGAGGCAGAATAGGGGTGAGGGGATGGGGGAACAAGGGGGGATGGGGGAACAGGGGGAGGCAGAATAGGGGTGAGGGGATGTGGGAACAAGGGGGGATGGGGGAACAAGTGGAGATGAGGGAAAAAGTGGGGAATGGGAGAACAAGCGGAGGTGGGAGAATGGGAGAACAAGTGGGGATGGGGGAACAGAGGGAAATTGGGGAACAAGGAGAGGCAGAATAAGGGTGAGGGGATGGGTGAACAAGGGGAGCTGGGGGAGTGAGGAGGAGTGGGGGGGAACCAGGGGGGGGGGGGGGGAGATCTGGAAGCGTGCTCCTTACCAGTCTTGGACTCCTGGGTGACGTTGACGGTTAAATGTTTGTTATTGTGCTTGGCCTCACAGAAGACGTCTGTCAGTTTCTCGGGAACAGGTAGGAAGCCGAACGCCACATAGTCGCCATTGGGCGTGATTACAGAGGGCCTGGTAACGTCAGTCTTACTCCCGTCTCCCACTGTCAGCGACAGGTTGATGGTCTTTGGAAAGAAGTCGCTGGCCAGACAGACTGCAGCTGGGTGAGCACCGTTGCCTAAGACGGCTGGCGGATAAAAAACCGACAATTTCGGCTCAACACTATCTTTCTGCCCTGAAATACAAAGAAAGGCAGAAGTGAGGGAGCGGTCAGACCTCTCTACCAACCCCCCTCCTCCGCCTTGTGCGTTATTCTGAGCCACAGGGGTTCCCCACACTGATCACTGTGGGACACCGCCACCCATCTCAGACCAATGTCCCTCTGCAGCCATAACTCGCCAACACTAGCTTCTGTCAAAGGCTGCTTTTCTCCCCACCCATCCCCAGCAGCTAACTCACAAGTCCTGCCTTTTCAATCCCTCCCCAGGGATACCCTCAGACAATTATGGTCGCCGTGCTGCAGGAAGGATGAGATTAAAATGGAGAGGAAAGATTGACCAGGATGTTAAACAGACTGGAAGGGTCTGAGCTGCAGGGAGAGATTGAACAGGCTGGGGCTATTTTCCCCTGAAGCGTCAGAGGCTGAGGTGGGGGTGACCTTATAGAGAGTTTATAAAATCATGAGGGGCATGGATAAGGTAAATATCCAAGGTCTTTTCCCCAGGGTAGGGGAGTCCAAAACTAGAGGGGAATAGGTTGGAGGTGAGAGATTTAGGAGGGACCTGAGGGGTAACTTTTTTCATGGAGAGGCTGGTGCGTGTATGGAACGCGCTGCCAGAGGAAGTGGGTGGAGGCTGGTACAGTTACAACATTTAAAAGGCATCTGGATGGGTACATGATAGCAAGGGTTTAGAAGGACATGGGCCAAATACTGGCAAGTGGGACTAGAATGATTTAGGGCTTCTGATCGGCACAGACGAGTTGGGTTAAAGGGTCTGTTTCCCGCGCTGTACGTCTTTATGACTTTCTGATGTCCTTTGAGAGGGAACACGATCACACCGTCGGGTCCCTGAAAACGTAACTGTTGTCCCTCCTTGGGGACAATCTAATGCGTCCGAGTTTCTCTGGTTTCAGTTGAGAACGAAGAGGACCCACGAGAAAGTGGACAGTGGATTGGTGGCAGTTAATTTCTTTTATCACATGATGCAATACCTGTCTGGCTCGGAATTGTCACACCAAAGTGGGACGACGAGAGACATTTTGTCGTCAGTAAACCGGGGTTGGGGGGGAACATGGTCACAATTTCGAGGTGGTCAGCGAGAGAGCTTGGCGCGGCATGCGGGGAAACATTTTTACTCAGAGAGACAGAGAGAGAGAGAGTCGTTTGGATTTGGAATGAGCCCGGCTTGGGAGCTGGATCCCATTTGGAGGTCATCAAGGGAGCTGGATATATCTTTGAAAGTGACCAACTTAAGTTTTACTTCCACACCATCCCCCCAACCCGCCTCCCCATTCTAGTCGCGGTGAGACCTTTCTCTCACGGATCTGTTCGACAGAATACACAGGGACTCCCTCTTTCTTAACATCACCCCCCACATCCCGTTCACAAAGTCAATGTCAACGCCGTGCTGACATGAAACGGCTGCAGTGAACGAACCTAAAATGACTGACTGATTTTGTTCTGAAGGTTTCGCTCTGGATTCAAACGCAATGGGCCCCAGGGTAGGAACCTTCCTGCGGGGAAAGGGACTCAGGCCTTGTTTTGGGACTGGGGAAGGGGATCTGGGGCAAAACCGACTGGCAGGGTGGCACAGTGCAGTGTGGAGAGAGGGCGCGGTGAAACTCTGTGCGTCTGTTTTTCTGCTGCATTTACCAGTCACTGACGTATCTCCCCCCCACCATCTCCAACCAACCCCGCAACCCCCGAACACAGCCAAGAAAGAGCTCAAGTTACCCTCGTCACAGTTGGGGCAATTTGGCCCATTTTCCAGTCCCCTTAATTTACACTGACTGAACTAAACCCCACCGCCCTACCCACACCCTCCGCACTTCCACCCTACAAACTCATGCCACGGTTACATTTCTTTTCCCACATGTGCCAGGGCACACCACGTTAAAATGTTTCTTTTGGACTAGTCTCAGAATGAAACGACAGCGTTGGAAAGGTTCCCTCGGTCTCACAGTCGTCCGAGAGCCAACATTACTCATTTCCCAACTGTTACAGTGAGACCAGATGTCACCAGATTAAAAAAAAAACCTACGCGAGACAGAATTTCCTCAGCACAGTCAGGTCGCAGATAATGTGACTGCCCTCCCTCCTCGGGGAAACCTAATGCCTTTGAGATTCCCCAGTTTCAATCGAGAAGGAAATAACGCGCCAAATTGTGGACGGTGTGTTGGTGACAGTTGATTTTCTTGATCACCCTGCTCGCTGTATGTGATGTGAAACCTGTCTGGCTCAGTCATGTCACAGCGAAATGGGTCCAAGAGAAACACTTCGTCTTCAGTAACTGGGCCAGGGTCTGAATTTCAAAGTCGTCAGCGGGAGAACTCAGAGTGAGGTGAAGAGAAAGTTCTTTACTCAGAACCATAGACATGTCCAGCATGGAAACAGATCCTTCGGCCTAACGAGTCCATGCTCACCAGATATCTTAATTTAATCTAGTCACACTTGCCAGAATTTGGCCCATATCCCTCTAAACTCTTCCTATACATAAACCCACCCAGATGCCTTTTAAATGTAGTAATTTTACCAGCCTCCACCACTTAATCCATATGTGTACCAACCTTCGGGTGAAAAAGGCCCCGCACATTCCTTTTAAGTCTTTCCCCTCTCACCTAAAACCTATGTTGTCTAGTTTTGGGGGGACCTGTTAGGGTTTAGAATGAGCTGCCTAGGGGAATAGTAGAGGTGGATTCGACAGGAGGTTTCAAAGGACAACTGTCTATACATTTGCAAGTGACCAATTCAAGTTTAGCCCCCCTCCACATCTCATTGTAGCTGAAATGGAACCTTTCTCGCACGGTTCGGGTAGGCCGAAATGACACAATGAAAAAAAAAAAGACTTATTGGCACTGACACACGCACACAATTTCTCTTCGACCAACGGTTTTTCAGAGGGGACGGTTCCAAGATGGAGTTTAATACCTTGGCCATACAACAATTCAGCCCTTCAGTGCCCGCCACATTTCTGACACCAGGAGATTCGATTCCTGCCCTCAGTGTCTTTAATTGAAGCAGGGTTTGAACATGCAACTCTCACGGCTAAAATGCCTGCAATCTTTTCTACATTTTCTCTCTCTCTCTCTTTCTCTCTCTACAGCACTACCTTGGCTCGGTGCCCAGACACTCCATTCCACAGAACAAAACCAAATAAACAGCATGTGAGCAGAATGAAATTTAAAAGCCTCAGCTCTAACTTACTCGGTTTAACTGTCAGTTGGGTGCCGCTGCCAAATGTGAGTTTCGTTCTTTTGTCAATGTAATCCACACAGTTAACAGGCCTAAGGCAGAAACCTTCCAAACTTAGCTTTCAAATTCAGTCACAGCGCGTGGGCATTGCTGGATTGGCATTGGGTAATTATTGCCCATCTCTAGTTGTGGGACTGTGGGGTCTGGAGTCATGTAGGTCAGACCAGGTCCTTTCCCAGTGGACCGCTTGGTAAAGCAGGCCATTACAATGGACACTGAGATTTTTGTCTGAATTTTTGCCAGAAGCTCACGTCAAAGTTTTGATGGAAACTTTGGGAAATGAGGGATTTCTTCGGGAGTAAGGCATTTCAGACATGAGGCAGAGTTAGAGAGAGAGATCGGGTTCAGAGAAGAGCAGGTTAAGAGGTGACATTTGCTGTAATTGTTGATCAAATTTGAGAACAATTTCGACAGTGTAGAGGAGGATATTTTGTCCCCAATAGTTGGTAAGTAGAGGTGACAGCTTCAAGATGGCCAACGACAGACCTCGGAGTGAGATGAGGAGAAACCTCTTTACTCAGAGTCATAGAGTCATAGAGATGTAGAGGACGGAAACAGACCCCTTGGTCCAACTCATCCATGCCAACAAGATATCCTAAAGAAATATAACCCCGTTTGCCAGCATTTGGCACATATCCCTCTAAACCCTTCCTATTCATAAACTCATCCAGATGCCTGTTGTAATTGTACCAGCCTCCACCACTTCCTCTCACAGCTCATTCCATACACACACCGCCCTCTGCGTGAAAAGGCTGCCCCTCAGGTCCCTTTTAAATCTTTCCCCTCTCACCTTAAACCTATGCCCTCTACTTTTGGGAACTTGTTAGGATTTGGAATGAGCTGCCTAGGGGAATAGTGGAGGTGGATTCAACATAAGTTTTCAAAGGAGAGCTGGACATATATTTGAAAGTGACCAATTTAAGTTTTTTCTGCCTCATTCTAGCTGAAATGGAACCTTTCTCACACGGTTCTGTTAGACTTAAATAATACGATAAGAAAAGATCTGTCAGCACTGACAAATCCATACAATTTCTCTTCCATTAACAGTTTCTGAGAGGGGTCATTTCCAAGATGGAGTTTAATATCTTGGCCATACAACAATTCAGCCCTTCAGTACCTGGCACATTTCTGACACCAGGAGATTCATTTCCTGGCCTCAGTGTATTTATTTGAATCAAGATTTGAACATGTAACTCTCATGGCTAAAATGCCTTCAATCATTTCGACACTTTCTCTCTCTCTCTCTCTCTCTCTCTCTCTCTTTGTGGCACTACCTTGGCTCTCTGCCTAGACACTTCATTCCACAGAACAAAATAAACTGCACATAAGAGAATGAAATTCAAAAGCCTCAGCTCTAACTTACCTGGCATGTGAGTTTTGTTGTGCTATCAAAGTAATACACACGGTAATCATGTCTAAGACAGAAACCTTCCAAACTTGGCTTTCAAATTTGTTCTCAGGGCATGGGCATCACTGGAATGGCACAGGCATTTATTGCCCATATCTAGCTGTGGGTCTGTGGGGTCTGGAGTCACGTGTAGGTCAGACCAGGTCCTTTCCCAATGGACCATTCAGTAAACCAGACCATTACAATGGACACTGATCACACTGGTCTGAGTCTGGCCCGGCTACTCTGGTCTGAATTTTTCTTGAACCAATCCAAATTTCTTTGGGAAATGAAGCATTTCTTTGGGCCTGAGGGATTTCAGAGAGGAGGGAAGATGAGATAGAGAGAGAGATCGGGCCCAGGACAGAGAAGAGTA